ACAAGTGTTGGCCAAAGTATGCGCCTCCATGAGCCGTTGTGATAGCTTCCACAAGTCTTGGCCCATAGTCGGAAGGCTACAAGTCTTGGCCAAATTCTGATTATTGATTTTTCACCTTCGGACTCATCATTTAATTTTTAATTTGTTTTCTGGTTTTACCTATTTTTCTACTATTTTCATAAAAGTTCGAATTTTTATGCAGGTATTTTAATTTTTTGGTATAAGAAATTTTGAAGTTTCGAATCGTATAACTTTCAACATGACAGAACATTCAACTTCAACTCAAAAAAGCAAAACCGAAAAAGGATAAATCTGCGAGTCGTGAGCACATCGTGAGCATATCGGGAGTTATTATGAAGAGATATTTAGCTTTGAAGAGTTCAATATTACAGAATTCGAACACTTGAATATACAGAATTTCGATTCACGAAAAAAGAGGAGACGGAGGATGAAAAAAAGTTAATTTTCTGCAAAATTCCACCAAAAAATTCTGCTTCAAACTGTTGTTTCTGTCGACAAAGGATCTCTTTTTAAAGGTATCCATCATTTTTCAAGGCGTTTCAAAATACTATGAAAACGATTCAGAGTTTCGTCAAAATCGTGCATTCGCAGAGTGTCGCAGTGGAAAATAAACACGATTTCAGTAAAAAACAATGTTTGGAACTCACAGGAGTAACGTTTTTTAGGGTTTGAAGACAACTCGAACTATGTAAAGAAGAATTTATTTGCACTGCACATTATGTGGATGCTTGTTATCCGAAAGTCAGTAATGTCGAAACCAGAACTGTGAAAATTTTTCGAAAAGGAAGTGATGGTATTAATTCGAAGACTGAGAATTTTTAATATTTCTGATTTTTTGTATTTCAGATGCAAGAAATTGGATCGTAATGTTCTCGTCTAAAGGATACTTCAAAATACAAGCAAAAATTGAGGAAATGAGATGACTCGACTTGATGCGATTACACTGTCATTGTCGATGAATTTCAACGGATTTCAAAGAAAAGGAAACGAAAAGGTGGAAATTTTTTGTAATTTTAATTAATTTTTTTTTCATTATTCGTTTTGTGTAGTGTTCTAATAAAATGTTGTAGTATATCTAATTCCAAATACAATCACAACAGAACAACAGGTTTGAATGAAAACACACAAAGCCACACAAGTCTAGGACAAGCCTTCCACAAGTCTTAGCTGATACATAGAATAATGTGCTCGGAGACTTGTGCTAGACTTGTGGGAGGTCTGGCCAAGTATTGGCGCCGACGGCCGAGAAAAGAAAAATAGTTCAAAAGTTAAAAAGTAATTTGAAACAGTGGAATTTTTTTTTTGAATCAAACAAAAGTATTAGGAATTGTTTTTTTTCGCAAAACTATCAAAGTATGCAATTTTTTCTTTCTTGCACAATTGTGGTAAATTAAATGACATGGTACCAATATCATTATGTTGAACGAATATTCTCGAACCAAAATTTCTTGAAACAGTAATTTTTATAATGAACCGTAAAGCTTAAAAATTACCCAAAAATCTTTATAAATATTAGGAAAAAACTGCTACCCGTCCGTTGACATGTGACATGAATAATTTAGTTTTTTTTTCTCTGAAGAGAAAGAAAACGTTCAAATGCAAAGCTCCACACAACAACAACACACCAATTTGGCAATTTTATGTAATTTTCCAATTTTCCAGTGAATTTTTTTTATCCAAAACACCGAAGGTAGGAAATCTAGAATCTATCCAGTTGAGGTAAAATTGAATTCTCAAGAATGTTGAGAAAACAGAGAATGAAAAATTTCAAGTTGGAGGAGGACAAATGAGAATGAATGAACATAAATAATTTTAGAAATTTGGGTTTTGTTGAAACAATTCAATGAGAAGTTGTGATAGGAATCCTCTTTTTCGACAACTCTTTAATTCAAAAAAATGGATTTACCGTGAACACTCTAATGGAACGCCACCCGAATCGTCAAATTTGAGACCATGTGTCTCATTTTCTGTGAGAGATATCTAAAAGTGGTTACCTAAACAAATGTTGCTGATATTATGATAAACATTTTATTAGTTGACAACTTTTTGATGTCTTTCGAAAGAAGTGAGATATATAGACTCAAAGTCGACGGTCCGGGTGGTGTTCTATTAGAGTGTTGACAGTAATTGGCCCCGAAAAATTGAGAGAAATTTTAATTTGTGCATAGAAGAAACGTAGAAGCAATGGAGGAAAAAAATCCATCAAATTTGCATATTTTTTGAAACAGCAAAAATTGAAACTGACAGGGGAAGTACCCGAAGTGAAATTTCGCTTTTTCTTAGATGTTGGTGCCAAAAATGTCCCGTCGCTGGACTAGCACAAAACGGATAATATAAGGTGCCCATAGGCAGGTTGAGCAGAATGGCAAAACTTTTTGTGATTTGTCCGAAAAAGTGGATCAAGTCCATTCAAAAAATCATAACTTTGTACAGATTGAAGATAAAACGATATACTAAATTGTATTTTGTATCACGAATTACAGGCTACAAAAAACCTAATTACACCTTTATTTTATCTCTTCAAAGAATTTTACTATGATAGGAAATGTGCGTATGGTCCGATGGTGTGAAATCAAAAAATGTTAATTTTCGAAAAAACACCTTTGGGAGACCATGTCTATCCGATTCCTTTTATGTCATAATGCACAACTGTAGTCTCAAATATATAGCTCACCGTTCATTTAAGAGAGATTTTTGAAAAAAAAAAAATATTTTTGAAGTCAATTCAAAAAAACAACAAGATTAGGTATTAAATTTTCTCGGAAAGTCTCAATTGCCATAAACAAAAAAATTTACTGAAAATGTTCTGGAAAATCTACTACTACAACTAGCACGTGGTTTCCATCTTTAGTCTATTTGGGAAGGAATAAAAAGTGAAGGTGGGAACAAGAATTAGTAGGAAAATAGGAAAAGTGGAAGGAGGAGGAGAACTAGAGGTCATGGGATTTGGTGAAAAATGTAATAAAAATATATAGTTTATAAAATATGCAGGGTTTGGAGCTAGCCAATAATCGTTTCATAAAAATACTTATTTGAATAGGTAGATCAAATACAAAGAATATATTAACCATCAAAGTTCAAAGAGATTGAAAATTCAAAAATTTCTGTTTCACAAAAATTTGGAATTTTTTGTTAGATTACTGGTTATCATAGGTAGTGAGAAGATTTTCAAAGAACTGAAAAGATATCAACTTTAATTTTCTCTCAAAAAAGTGAAAACTTTCAAAGTTACTGCTTCACAAGATTTTGGTAGTTTTGTGAAAATTTAACTGATTATTCTTTATTTTTTATAATAAAAGTTGACTGAAAAACTACTTCTATGATCTAAACAGATTTCAAGAATCAAAACGTCATCTGGAATTGATTTAGAAGTCTCGTATTTGAAAACAAAGAGGAAAAGTCATGTTGCTACCTACCGTATAACCACTTCTATGAAATCATAAAAATCCTACTTTTTTGTGTGTGTCAACAAAAAACAAAAAAAAACACTTGAGCCAGAGATGATTGAATTTCGAGGATTATAGGAAATTCAAGGAATTCAGGGGATTTTCTAAAATCATATTTAGTTTTATGTGATTATTATAAGAATGATTTGGAAAGTAATGAATATAATAACGTGGTCAGATTGGACATTTCTTTGAAACAGCAATTTTAAATGGCCACATTCACGGTGTTTCAAACCAACGGGTCGAAAATCGCGCCCCATATAACTTTTAGGCCAGGCGAAATTTAATAATTTAAAAGTTGACCTGGATTTGACCTATATATCTTTAATCAACGCATTGCAACTCGCGATTTTTCCCCAACATTTAAAAGTTTGATCCTCAGCCAACGAAAATTTGACACGTTGCGCAGTGATTTTTTACGTTCGCTGGGGCGCGTTTTCCGACCAGGCTGTTTGAAATAGCGTGCACATTGGAAATCAAACTGAAGAAATGGTCGAAATTTTCAAAAATTTTTGAAACAGTAAAAATTTGAAATGAAATAGTATAGTGTATTTTTCGAAGACCAAACTATACCAAAAACTAAAATAAGAAAGAAACTAAAAATGAAAAAAAGGGGAATTAGTCTTCCCGAACAAAAAAAGAGAGTTCTCTATGCAAACAACAACAACAATTCACCTAGTAAAATGTATTTTTTGCTGGTTGCAACAATTTTTTCTTTTCTTTTTATGTTCCGGAGCACCAGACGGAGCACATTTGTGCCTTTCAGTGCTCTTCTTCCAATTATTCATTTTTCAAATAAATTGAGAAATAGTGTGGGAGCTTGTGAGTCGCAGAGATGTTGGGATGACGTCAGAAAGGAGGAAATGGCTGGGAACGTGTGTGATTGGAATCAGATGAGCATTTTTTGCAAAAAAAAAATGAACAGAGAAACTGGAAATTCTAAAATTTAAAATTGGAAAAAGATGAAGATATGGAAGTATCGAGTTTTATTAATTTTGAAACAGTGAATCTGTACCTTCAATTTATTAAGATTCGAAGTTTGAAAAATGTAAAAAACGGAATTGATTAAAGGTGGGGGACAGGAGATTTTACGGGGGATTTTTGGGGCCAGAGTATGCATTCTACCGTAACAGTGTACAACGCTTAATGTCACTCTGCGTACAGATGTTGTCCTCGCCTTTATGTATGCAATCGGGCGACCGCTTTTTCTTTGCCCGTGTAGCTCAGTCGGTAGCGGCGCCGCACCCTCAATCATCGCCCCAACAAGTTCAACTCCTCGAGGAGCATATTTAAACGAAATTTCGAGAACATTATTTTTTTCATGTCCCCCCACCATTAAAGCATTTTTTGATTTTTGAAAAATAAAATTTTCCAAAAATTTATTTTTGATCTACCAAAAACATGACAAACATTTTTTTCTGGCGGTTTTTTCAACTTTTTCAATTTCGTTTCCAAAATTTCACTCATTTCTTTCTATTTTTCCGATTTTCAGCCGATTTCCCCCATATTTTTCAGCCCTACTAACTCCTCCCAATGACTCCAGACAAGGAACAAAAAATGAATAATCTCACAAATTTTTCGGAAATCAATGAAGAAGACATTCAAATGAATAAAACGAGACTTTTAAAGCAACGAGAGACGGTCAGGAAGCAAAAGAGACTACAAAAGAAGTGAGTTTGAAGAATTTGAGAATTACTGTAGGCTGAGAAATTCCAGTTTCTTGAATTCAAAAAAAAAAGGAAAATTGCAGTTTCAATAAATTGTAATGAACTTTGAAACTCGTATGTTTTTGCTAAATTTGTGATATATTACAAGCTATAGGACGAAAACGTCAGAATTGTTTTGTAAACATACTAGAAATGTAGGTCTGTCAAAGATTTTTGAATTTTCTGAGAACTTTTTAGATCTCTTGTGTCTAACATACTGTCGGATTAAAAAAAGTGACACCTGAAAATCTCGGAGACGGCGCTCGTGTCGATTTACGAGGGGGCGGAGCGAAAACGGATACTGTAGATAACAAATTTATTTACCGTAAAACCTGTATTAGAAGGGCCGGCCCTTCTATTTTTCGTGGAGTCCAAAATTTCGGTTTTCTTCTCAGAATCCATTACAATTTCTCCATAAAAACAAAATTTCTTCTTAGAATCCATTCTTAGAATCCATTCTTAGAATCCATTTTCTTCTCAGAATCCATTACAATTTCTCCATAAAAACAAAATTTCTAATATTGTCAAATTTTTAAAAACTGGCACCTGAGCGATGTTCGTACTTACAAGGCCCCGCCCTCAAATCCCATATTATACCGAACGAAATTAATTTTTCTCAATGTAGTCAAATTTTCTGAATAAAATTCAGGTTTCTTGGTAAAATTCGCTGGAATTTCTAGAACTTTTTCAAATTGAAAATCCAAACGAAAATCGCTCGAAAGAGACGAAAATTTGTAATATAGCGACTGCATTCAAATTCTCATGTGCCAGTTTTTCAAAAATTAGACAATGATTCAATCAAAACAACGGAAAAAAACGGCTGAAAATCAAAGGGGATAGTCAAAGGGGCACTTCAATTGGAGGGGCCCTTCAAATAGAGGGAGCGCTTCTATTTTTCGTGAGGTCTCTAGGGGGCGTTTTTGCCGCACTTTTTCGTAGATCAAAAAAGCAAAAGTTTTCAAATTCTCAGGTGTCACTTTTTTTTAATTCGACAATATAGTTTTTTTCTGTTTCGAAAAATTTTGATTAACATTGAAATTCATAATTTTGTGTTGTTTTTCTAAATTTTTCTAAATTTTTCTAAAAGGATAGTTGTTTTACATTTTTCACTGAGCTCAACTATTTTTAATCGATTGTATGATAATTTCAAAATATTTGAAAATAATTGAAACAGTGAGTTGAATATTTAACACAACATCCTTTTTTTTCGATCTGTCATCTCTAATGTGACGAAAAATTAGTGAAAGATCTGATTTTTTGTCCAATAAATTATCAAAATTTGGTATTCCAAAAAGTGACTGTTTCAAGGTTTTCTTTTGAGAAAGAATAAGATAAATTACATTAAAAGAGACATATTCCTTTTATCACGAGACTCACTGTAGATGTTCTGCTTTTCCAACCAATTAAAAATATTCTTTCCAGACCTTCTCAGCCCACTGAAACTCCTGCTTTCGATGCAAAATTCTACGAAGATCTTCTCAAAGAACACGATGAGTACGAGGAAGGTCTTCAGAAGATGTTCCGTTCCAAAATTCATTCTTTGGAAACTCAATTAAAAATATCTCGAGACGCTGCCAAAAAGACTCGAATCCAAAATCGAAAACTTCAGAAATTGAACGATGAGCTTCAGAAGCAACACGTGGAAGATATTCAAGAAATTATGAAATTGAAAGATTCACAGGAATCGATTCTGGAGACGTTGGACATTGCTCATGACCAATTGATATTCACAGAAAAGGAAATGGAGGACGTGATTGAAGAGAATGAGAAGGAAATTTCAGAATTGGAATATCGAATTTATAAGTGGAGATCTTCGAAATCGTCGGATTCGAAAATGTTGAAAAAGTTGAGAAATGAGAATAAGAGATTGGAAATTGAGTTGGAGGAATCAATGGATGAGAATCAGAAATTGATTGAAATGATTATGAATGGAAAGTCTGGAATTGAAGATATCAAAGATCAAAGAATCAAAAGTCTCGAGGAATCTGAAAATCGGAATATCGCGGCAATTCGAAACCTTTTTGAGCAGCTGGAAACCACGGAAAGATCAAAAGTGATGACACAATGGGAAGTGTATGAATTGAGGAATTTGGTGATTCCAGAATTGAAACGAAGAATTAAGAATATCGAATCAGTGATTGTACAGTACACTCCACAAAAATTGGGATTCAAAGTGTCACAAGAGACGCAGACAACAGAAGACGTCGTTCAGATTTCAATTGAATCTGAATTGGAAACCGATTTGGAGACTGAAGAGTGGTTGCAGAAAACTGTGAAATTTGAGATGAATTAGATGCTGTGGAATACTGTAAATTTTGACTATGATTATATTTGAACTATTTTGTCTTCTAAAAATATTCTTGTTACTCTATAAATCAATTAAAATTACTGAAAATTTTAAAAACACCGGTTTGTATATTACAATGAGCGTTGGATTAATTATAATGAATTCTGAAAGTTTATAGCTAAATTTTCATTGAAACAGAAATAATAGTTGAAGTCTTTAAGTCTGCATGTTTTGGAAACTGATTAAAGTAAGGTTTCCGGCCGGAAATTCGAGACCGCATTCGTTAATTGGCGCGTCAGTATACCAGAGAGTGTTTGCGTACACATCATTGAAGTTCATAAAAACCAAAAAAGTATTGATTGCTATAAAAGGAAGATGCAATAATCATGAAATCTCGATCAATTTCCATCCGAATGCCAAAAAACCATACAAAACAGTCTAATATCACAAACAATCGTTGCATTCACGCCGTCCATACGTTGGATACTAAAGCCACCTTGAACTTCCATTTCTGATCCATCACTAAACAGACAAAGAAAACATGAAACACAGTAAGATAGATAGTCATACCTATAGCGATACCTTCTCACTTCATCAGTTTCAACAATTTCCAATTCTGGATCGAACCATGCTGGAACCAGTATCTCTCTTTCGAAACATATATCTATCACCTCCAAGCGAGGAGATCCTCTAGATTACCAATTTCTTAAAAATGCATTCAAATCTGAATCAGTGAGTCTAGAATTGTGAACAGCAAGTACTGTAGCGTCGATATTATCAAATTGTCACAACTGATCCATTGTCCTTGATATTCAAGTGATGAAATGGTCTAAGTTTACCAGTGAATCGAAAGTTTTCAGAAACTTTTACATGGATATCAAGAAGTTCTCCAGTTTTTGAATATCTGGAATCAATAAATAGTTTTCATGGGTTTAAGAACACTAAAAGTCAACGATGTATTTTGAGAAAATGAAAACCTGAGTTTTTAATTGCAAGTTTCCGACCACCTCACCTGAGCACATATTCGGCTTCCTCATCAGCTATCGGGTCTTCTTTCTTAGCCGTTACTAAAAATAAACCAGCCAGTGGCGTATTCTGTCGACTATTGATAAAATCGATTGCCCAAATACCGTTTCTATCCACATATAATTCATCAATACTAGTACGGAACAGATCTGTGACATAGTCTACAATCATTTTTGTTCCCATTACTCGATCTTCAAAATATAGGACTGGAAACCCTGATGAAAACGCTCTTTTGTATCTACTGGCGTCAATAGGTTCGTGTGCTTCTTCGTTCAGTTCTGAGATGCGATCAGCGGATAGAACAACTCCTTGGCAGGTGCCTATCAGTCTTTTACATCCAATATAAACGTCGAGCTTCAATTTTGATGCTCGTTGATACCGCTTTTTTATGACGCGCTTGAAGTTTTTGGAGGAGAGAGAGGCAGACACTCTGAAAATGATTAAATAACATCAAAAACAACATTTAATTGGATAATTAGTCTAGGCAGATTATATATTGAAATAATAAAACTGCAAAACGCATTCGGATCTGCCGCTGGACTGGATAATCTGCACAAAGTTATGATCGAAAAATGATTGTAGCTTACATTTCATTTGGTCTCAATAATGATTTCTGACAGAACGTCAAATGGAATTTGTAGTATCGGGAACTGCATTCAAAGGTATGAATGAATTGGTGGGAGGAAGAGATGTGTGACTGATCGAAGGGGGAACAGTGGTGGACCATCAGTCTCTAATTCTCTCTGTCTCTCTCTCTCTCTGGAACAGCACAAGAGAGGGAGTGTACTTCCCATGAGCCATTGTGCGTTGTCTACGAATTTAATATCTAGTAGAAAACCCGATTTTGTAATTTTTACTGTTTCTAAAAATCTTCATCCATTTTCTGGTAAAAGTTTATACTGGTATTCATCTTCACTTCATTTTTATGCGATTTCTTCGAATATGTACACATAAATGTTTTCATTATTATCACTCATTCTTTTTAAAAGAAAACGTATAAATATGTATTACACAATAAATATGAAGGTCTAGCGATTTGGAATCTATATTACAGACAGAAGTTAGTCGTGAAATTTTTTGGGGGGGGGGGGTTTCCATTTTTAAACAAAAGCGAGATCATCAATCAATTTATCGTATTCCATGACGTTAAACACACGAATCACATGGAAGTTCTCACGATGAACAGCCATGGCATTACGGACGGCGGTAAGCAAGAGAAGTGTGTTTCCAACGAGAAGGCCAGCCTGGAAAAATATAAAATTACTGTTTCACAATTTTTTGGAAGAATTGTCCAAAGTTTTATAATGTTGCTGAAACTTTTGAAGGTATGGTAAGCTTTTGAGCTAAAAACAATTTTAAAGTTTATCCCAAAAACTGTAACATCTAGACAAAAATGTTAAATTATCATAATATGTAACGCATTTCGTTACTTCGCAACTTTTTGCTAGCTTCAGCCGTTTTTGAGATATACCCCTTTAAAAGAGAAGGTACTTGAGAAAAGAAGAGAAGAGACGTAGACGATGAGTCTCTCTTGCTTCTCTGCATCTCATCCTTTGGCTAAGAAAGTATATCTATGATGCTCGTTTTAAAGACTTCATGAACAAAAAAAATATATAAAAAATTCTGTTTAAAAGATACTTGATATAACTGTATCACAGGTGATTCGCGAACAATCCGTTACGGACGCTCCGCGTTCGCGCGCGGTTGAAATAGGAACCGCATACGGACCGCACGCCAACCGTTTTCAGTAAATAGCCGTACATTATTCGGATTGATCCGTATCCTGTCCGTTCGCGAGCTCCGTATCCGATCTGATTGCGAATCATGACCAAACGGATCCGTGTAAGCGAAA